GTATAAATATTTATACAGAACAGTCTTTTGATCATAAATAGGGGCTAAAAGTCAGTCCTGTCCATGCTAGGGACTTGGACAGGAGGCTCTTTCTGTGCTTTGAAACGTCTTGTAGACTGAGAAGTTTAGATATGTCCCAGGACTTGTGTGCAGCACAGCTTGAATTTCTGTTATTTTTCTTTATCTTGGCCGTCCACAGTCCATGCCCTCATTTCTTTCCGCCTGACCACCCTCCCCATATCCCTAACAGCTGTTTTTCTTTTCAGAGTATTTATCTTTGCCTAAAAAGAATGAAATGAAACCCCAGTTCCGACTCTCACCATTCATAATGCGGGCTTTGGAGTCACATTGACTTAGCCTCAAACCCCAGCCCCTCTGCTTCTGTGCCATGCAACTTTAAACAGCTTCCTGTCTGAGAACGTCACTTTCCTTAGTTGGGAAATGAGGTTCATACTGCCTACCTCACAGGGTTGCTATAAGGATTAAATGAAATCATGGAGTCACATGGTGATCTACAGCTCAGAGCTCAATAGGTATTTCTTGCTGCATTTGTTGTTCTTATTGAAGAAGTAATCAAAGGGTTTGGCTTTCATTTTTAGTTGGATGTTGTGGAAGGAGCCCTAAACTTGCGGTAAGAGACTGTGATTCAAATCCTGATGCCATTTACTGTTTGTGTCACTTTGGGCAAATTACTCCACCCTGCTGAGGTATAATAAAGTGGTGATAGGTTTACCAAACTGATTGGGTTTCAGTGAATGAGATTAACATTGTATAGGAATGAGTGACACGATGAGGATCCTTATCCTTTTTTTCTTTACAAACTAGAAAAAGGAATAATGTTTTCCACTTTGTAGTTACTTTATTTTTTGAGGCTAAGGGGTCATGGTTGCATAAGATTAGGAGTCTAGGACACAGCAGATCATATTCGTGACCCAGGAACAAAGGGCATAGAGGGAGAAGATCAGGGGACCTGTGATGCAGAAAGTCCTCTGCTGCAGCTCACAGGTCGAATTTCAGGGAAGCAGCCCAAGGGCTTGAACGTCCCTGCTTTCAGGTTCCAGGTATGGAAATAATCATAGAGATCAGTTAGAACTATAATAATGGGAAAAGTGGTGAACCCGAAATATTCAAGTAGGATCTATTTCATAGGAAAACATGAACTGGGTTATGTGTGTGAATGACGCTGGGACAGTTTGACTCTTTCTTGCATGGTGCCTTGATAATGTGTTATAGAAATCCATAGTTTGCTGGAAGCAGGCCACCTGGTATTATGGAAGGGTCAGTCTCTGAAGATGAATAGCCTGGGTTCTGAGTCAGCCAACCTTAGGCACAATAGGCAGAGGCCCACAGCAGAGTCCTTGACAAATGGGCATTTAGTAAATAGAGGAATAGCAGGAGGCAGTGGAGCATCCTGAGAAATGTTAGGGCTGATGGAACCAGAGGGAATGGATTACTATCCATTGTATTACTGCCTAGTAATATGACATACTGGAGCAAGTTACTTTACCTGTCTAGGACTCATTTTCCTCATCAGTAAAATGGGGGTGATCATAGTTATTGTCTTCAAGAATTGTGGTCAGGCATTGTAATCAAGCTGCTTAGCAGAATGTCAGATACATGGTAAACATAGTATCTTTTTTTTATTTCCCCAGTGATGAATTTTAAAGACACCCATTCACTGATTTACAAGGACTTACTGAGCTCCTGCTGTATGCCAGGCACTGGGCTTATAGCTGTGACACAGGCGGCAGCTGGAATTAACTGTAATCATACACCTCCATTCTCCATGTAAAGGGGGCTCTTGTGAAGGGTGGGCTCCTTCCATAAACCAGAACTGGAGCAAGTCCAGGGCCAACTGTAGCGTGGAAATCTGCCTCTTTGCATTTTACTGGAAAGGAATCAGGATGTGGGTAGGGTGGTAAGATGATGTATTTTTTCATATTACTCTCTTCATCAGAGAGGGAGTCAAAAGTGAGGAACCCAAGCCTGAGCACCTGGGCCAGCCCCATGGAGAATCTCTCTTGTCATCAGAGCTGGCTGGAGTAGAGACAAGCCTGGATGCTGGCTGGCCAGGTCTGTGTAAGCCAGGGTGTTGCATAGATTTTTCGTTTCCTATTTATTTCTTTGTTTCTTCCTAAGTGTTTATAGTAGTCTTGCAAAGGTCTAGCCAAGGGCAAGGAGTTGTTAGCATGCTAGGATCAGTGTTAAGGAGCAGCAACCCTGGGGGCCTTTGCAGTAGAGACAGTGGGAAGCCAAGAGAGGGGATTCCAAGTAAAGTAAGCAGCTGTGAGAGGTTGGTAGAGAGGGAAGGTAGAGTGGCTAGCTTCAATCTTCTTCCTGTTTGCAGGTAATAAAATTGAGGAAACTCAGCGAAGGCATTGCCCCTATTTTGTCAATCAGTGTATCCTCAGCAGGCTTCCTGGTGTTACTGTCTTCTGCATTTCTTCTGAGTCTCAGATGTCACAGATTGCAAGATGCACCATTATTTCGTATACCATGAAGTAAGAAAGGAAATGATACCAATTAATTGTAACATACCATTGAGTGTAAGGTTCGCACTGATTTTAGAGAAGCTAAATATGGAAAAATGAGTGCCGTAGAATGAATAAAATGTGGTTGTCGCATACAGTATTTGTGAACTAGAAGAATGAGTCATAAGAGATTAAAATAAAGTAAAACACTAGCACATATAAGTACAAACTTAGAAATTCAAACTATTAAGGCATGGACCTGCTCATCCTTATTTCTGTTGATTCACTGATGCAGTTGTTCATTCAGTAAACATTTACTGAAAACCTATTATGTGCCAGACACTGTGTAAGGAGCTTGGGATGCAGAAATTGATAAGTTCATTTTTTTCAGTTTCAGTTAGGAAGACAGACATGGAAAGAAAAATAAAATTGTGATTCCAGAGTGGTAAGTTTTAAAAGAAAGCAGGGACACGATACCATGTTGGCATCCTTTGTATGTATGCAAGGGGAGAAAGGTAAGGAAGCCTTTTCCAAGGAGAGGTGATGGCTGACCTGGGTCTTAAAATATAATTCCGTGGTCACTGGGCAGACAAGGAAAGGAGAGAATTAGAAAGGGATGAGCAAAGGATCGGGGAGGCCTTTAGCAGTTGGGGGCAATTGAGAGCCTTTGAGGAGTTTGAGGATGTCTGTAGCCTGGAGTGAGAATGAGCAGGACTATATTAGGCAGGGCTGGATGGCAGGCATAGGGAGCCCGTGGAGGGCGTGAGATGCCGAGCTGAGGCCCTGGGCTATATCACAGCTCAAAGCTGGTGGTTTTCAGTTGTCCTGAGAGAGGACCTAACAGAGGGACTGCTGGGGAGAAGGGCTGGAGGGTGGGGCAAGGGTGATCTTTGCTTCAGAGCAGCTCTCTTTTTATCTGTTTTGTTTTCTTCAAATAATGGCTTGAAGAGAAGGTATTACTGTTAAATGAATGACGGAATGAATGATTTGAAAACTGGTGCTAATGGTCATATGGAGGTCCCCAAGGGGAATGTAAGCGAGGGAGAGAAGTTGAGGTTACACACCAGTGTGGGTCTGATGAAACTGTGATGAACGGAGCAAATGTTATTACTGTCGCTTCTCCATTTTATTTTTCACCTGCTCATGAGCCACAAAGCCAAAAGGGTTACAATTCAGTTGGGGAATCATTGGGATTAAGACAGAAACAGTTACTTTTAATGGGTTGTTTTTATTGTTTTATTTGTTGTTTACTGGAATAAATATCTAGGAAGCAGTATACTGAACATCTGCTGGTTGATTTTCTTTTAGAATCTCCACTTTTGACTTGGCTAGGGAAACATTTTCTTTCTGAAGTTGAAGGGTACAGAAGGTTGCCCAGGTTGAAATTAGACTCTGGGCGGTGAGACTACCTGGAGCTCACCTGGAGAGTTGTAAGGCTTTCACCTGCTCAGTTGTCTTGGGAGCTTGTTCTTATTCTTTCAAAGGCCAATCTGGAAAATAAAAGCCTCTATGCGATTCCATGTCATGCGGGCTAATCTGACCAAAGGGACTTAGAGCAGCCATGAAGGCCAAGGAATTCCTGAGTGTTCTCTGGTCAGATTTCCTTGTAACTCACAAGGGGTCTGTAAGGAAAACAGATTGTCTAATTAATTCCTGATCTTGTCTCCTCAGGGTTCCTTCCCAATTCCCAGTCACTTCATGACACAGCTGCAATATATTTGCCTATTCTCCAAACCTATACTGAAAGCTTTTAAGAAACAAAAGAAAGAGCATGATACTTGGGATTGCACAAATGTGGGACTTTAGGTCCAGGCTGCCCCTGAATGAAGCTGATTAAATTCCTTAACTTCTCATAGACTTGCTTCTTAATCAGTATAGTGTATATCATTATAATGATGTACATTTACTGTTTGAATTTATGCATAGACCTAGCTAGCATTAAGCAAAAAGTTACTTATCTCTTGGAGTCTCACTTTGACCACCTGTAACATAGAAATGTAAATAGTCTCACCTTCTGGAGTCATAGTGAGGAGTAGAGGGGACATACGCACTTTTCACAGTGCTTGCACATAAGAGGTACTCAGTAGGTAATTGTTGAACGAATGACTGACTAGGAGGACAAGGTTCCTTTTCAGTACCGAGGCTTCTGTCCTTGTTGATTGAAATTCACTGAGAAGAAACTCATCTGTATTGCCTCCAGATTCTAAGTTCTCCTACCACTCTGTACTTGCTCTTATAGCACTCATCACAACTTTGCCTAAATAATTATGTATTTAAATGCCTAATGTCTGACTTTGTCTCAAGAATGGAAATGCCATGTCTGAGGCCATATCTGTCCTGTTCACCCACCATGTAGCTCAATGTTTATTAGTATACTGTTAGCACTAAAAATGTTTGTTGGATGAATAAATAACAAATGGCTACCAGTTAGATAGTGGTACCTCTTTTATTTCTACTTTTGAGATGTTTTGTGACTGTCTTTGCAGATCTACTTGGTCTTCATTTGGTTTTTATGCTTGCTTACTATAGGTGGAGGAACTGCAATGTCTGGTGGAGAACAGAAACCAGAGAGGTACTATGTGGGTGTGGACGTTGGAACAGGCAGTGTCCGCGCAGCTCTGGTGGACCAGAGTGGGGTCCTGTTGGCTTTTGCAGACCAGCCAATTAAGAAGTGGGAGCCCCAGTTCAACCACCATGAGCAGTCCTCTGAGGACATCTGGGCTGCGTGCTGTGTTGTTACAAAGGTATGGGCAAAACTGGTATTCTCTCCTTGTTCATGTTCCTACCTGCTGAGTGTTTGTCCTGTGTTATTCTGGTGCCACAAACTATGTTGGGGTAACTTTAGATGCAGAGGTAAATAGGCCTTGCCCTTCAGGAGCTCACAGTCTACTGGCAGAGACTGATAAACCACTAATATATGGTAAGAGCTGGGAGCAAAATAACTATAGCTGGAGGTGGGGAAAGAGCTAACCGAAGGGGGCTCAGGGAAGACAGGACAGCTTGAGGTGTGACCACATGTGGAAGAATTCACTGATCACCTTACTAACATTTACCATGCCTTTAATGTGTGCCAAAGGCTGTGTAAAATGTGTTAACTTGCACTGTGTAGTTGGATCTTCACATGACCCTATAAAGGTAGTACTATCACTGCCCCCATTTTATTGAGGGAGAAATGTAGGCACAGAAAAGTTAGGTAACTTACTCAAGTTCACACAGTACGTAGCAGAGGCTGGACTAGAACAAAGCAGTCTGACTCCAAAGGTGCACTCTTTTTTTTTTTTTTTTTTAATTAAAAAAAAAATTAAAAAAAATGTTTTTGGGGAACAGGTGGTGTTTGGTTACATAAGTTCTTTAGTGGTGATTTCTGAGATTTTGGTGTACCCATCACCCAAGCAGTGGACCCTGTACCCAATGTGTAGTCTTTCATTCCTCACCACCCCACAGCGCTTTCCTCCACGTCCCCAAAGTCCAATGTATCCTTTTTATACCTTTACCTCAAAGGTGCACTCTTAATCAGTGGACTCTCCTGCCTTCCAAGTGGACAAATGGGGATGAGAGGAACTGCATTTTGGGCAGAGGGAATAGCATATGCAAAAGCATGGTGGCATGAAAACATGGTGTGTTCCGAGAAAGCAAAGAAGTCAGACTGGAGTGTCTCCTATTGATGCCAGGCATGTGTTCACCTTGAGTGGCCTTGGATTGGATGCAGCCTCCTGGCTTGGGAAAGGAAGCAGTGCTTCACAATTCTTGTTTGTTTTTAAAGTTTCACTTGACTTTGATTTTATATCTTGGTGATAAGTCATGGCAGAGATCCTTTTGTCTTTTTTTCCATAGGGAAAAATAAAGTCCTGGATTCCTTCTTTCCCCTGTTCCTAGTTTAGTTCCTTAAATATTCATGAAGTGCTTGGTAATTTGCCTATGGACAATTCACCATTCTGTCCCTATTGATCAGTCTGTTTAAACTTTAATGAATTCTGGGCTGCTGTTAGTGGCCCCGGAGAAGAAGGCAGAGAGAGGAGGGAATGGGTAGGCAGTACCAGAGCATTATACAGGAATGATAGAGGGGTGCATCTTCTCGTTGGCCCGTTTAATTTTCCTCTCCTCTCCCTTCCTTTCAGCCCCAATCTGGTAAGAATCTTCTACTCTTTGCACTTGGGTCTTCTTTTTTCTTTTAACATACAGCCTTGCTTGCCGTTAAGGAAATTATCAAGAAGAAAATATAATCCCCTGATGAAAAGCTACTTTAAAAAAGGTCTACTCTGAGTACAGCTTGGTTTAATGATAGATTTTTAATCATCTCCCAGTGGTGGCCAACTTGTCATCTGTTTGAGCCCTGTTAGCTGCATAAGTACTGTGGGCATTTGTCGTTAACAATGCTGTTAACACTATAGCAAACCTGAATGAAGCTCTTGGGTCTTAGGCGATTCTCCTCACATGGAGTATGGATATGTGAGCATGTGCCAGAAGCCACAGGATAAGCATGTTGCATCTATGTGGAACATCATTGCTGCTGTGAGGCTTAAGGAAGGAAGCATTTTTATGTTAGAGAGGTAGCAACACTGTAGGAATGAGAGAGGTAGGCGACCTGTCATAGAGCACAGATTCTGCAGCCAGACTGTCTGGATGGACATCCCACTTACAATGTTTATTAGTCTGTGATCTTGGACAAGTTACCTAATGTTTCCTGCCTCAGTTTCCTTATCTGTAAAATGGAAATGATATTAGTACCTACTTCCATAGGATTGTTGTGAGGATTAAATGAATTAATGCACATAGAATGTCACAACACTGCCTAGAAACGTGTATTGGTTGTTTCCTATGGTGGTGCTGATGGTGACAGAAATGAGCAGATTATAGAGGATAATGAATTTCTAAGATAAAATACTGAAAAGTCAAAGTCCACGACGGGAGGCGCTTCTTGGGAATATTCACTCACTCTCCTGGTTAGGGTTCTTTCTATGTAAGACTTTGAGAAACACTGGTCTAGGGCAAAGGGTGGCATAAAACATGTCCTGGTCTGTCTTTTCTTCCTCATGGACCCCAGGAAGTTGAGAGCTCGAGAGCAGTTGTTGTACTTCCTTTTCCCTAAGTCATTCACATTGCCTGAGATGACTTTCCTTTTAGTTAAAGCAGCAGTAAGGATAATGTGGTATCAATGATGATGACAAAGACAGCTAACAGTTCTTGGGCACAGTGGTCCAGGTACTATACTGAAGAGCTTTACCCATCACTTCGTTTTATCCTTATGACAACTACTTTTTAAGGTAGTTTTGATCTCTCTGTTTTGAAGATGGAAAAAGAATGAGCCTTGAAGAGGTTCAGTAAGCAGCCTAAGGACTCCTGAATAAGAAGAAGAAAGGGACGCTGCCCCTGCTACTGCTGCCGCTCTTGTGCTCTGTCCCTTGTCTCTCTCCAGTCATATCTCCCTCCACATGACCCCATCTGGAACTGATAAGAAGCAGACTGAAGTTTTTAGATTTTCTGCACGTGGGGCATCGTGAGATTACCCAGGATTACGAGTGCCTTTACCTGGTTGCCTGCTCATCTGGGAAGTGTGTGCCCGCTAAGCAGGGGTTATATCTAGTTTATCTGTATTTCTCTAGAATTCTTTGCTTGTAATGTGTTCAATTAATGTTTGTTGAGTACATAAATGAATGATATATCTCTGTTGTTTACATTGTCTGGAATACTATTCTCTTACCTTCCTCACCTGCCCAACTCCCACCTTATAAAGTAAACTTAAACATTCCTGTCTCCTGAGTGTCTTCCTTGGTGACTTCTGACAATCTATGCCCTTTTTTTACCAACCTCAGAGGAAAGAGATGGTGAGAAGCCTTTCTCTACTGTCCAGAGCCCACCATCTTCACCCAGATCATTATCTACTCCTTATCTTTGCATTTTACTTGTTGACTTGTTTAGCCCCTTTTAAACTATAAGCTGAGCTCTTAGAGAGATTCATCTTTGTGTCTCCAGTATCTAACACATTGCCTGGCACAAATTAGGTGCTCAATTAATGGCTATTTAATGAATGTTACTTAGAGCTAAAAACAAAGAGACAAAATCCAATCTAGCATTCCTTATCTTGTTTCAGTGTCACTGTGGGGCAGGAAGGACAACTATTCTTTTTATTTGAAATATGAGGAAATTGAGGCTCTGGAACTAACAAGTATTAGAGACAACACCAGAATCCTGGTGAGATGGCTCCAAACCTTCCTCTCTGTCTTCCTCGCCACATCCCCTGAATTTGGCAGGTTTTATTGGGCTGGTACCCAGCACACCAAGGAAGTTTTATGGAAACTCACGAGTCATAGAGGTGATACACAGTCCATGATTTTAAAGGTTCCTTTATGGAGTCACAAATCTTAATCATTCCAAAACATTTCAAATTAGTGCATGATTCATATTAAACTTCTATTAGGAAGAAAGAGAAGATAAACTGGAGGAATCATTTAGCCAACAGGTGTTTGTTGAGTATCATTCTTTCATTTAGTCTGCAAACATTTATTGAGCACCTACTATGTGCTATGCTCTTTGCTAAACATTGGAGCATATAGAGGAGAGGTATACAAGAAGTCTGAGTAGAAGAAAGAGTAGCCACATGTGGGGTTGAGCAATAAGGTTAACCTTATATTCATAGAACCATTATGGTTTACAGTGCATCTTCATTTACATTTGATTGCCATTGCAGGGTGAAGTAGGGAAGGAGTTGTTATTCCCATTTACATTTGAAAATCTGAGAGCCAGAGAGTTAAGTGATTTCCCCAAGGTCACCCAGTTGGTATGTGATAAGGCAGAACTCAGGTAGGTCAAACCTATGCATTCTCTCTATCTCTAGCATAGCACCATATACCTTTATATTTTGCATGGAATATTATTCTAAGAACCTAACTGATGTCTTGATATTCATTTTTCTTTTCTCTATTCTTTCATTTGAAGTGGTATTTTCCCTCTAGTGCTAACTTGTCATGTTACTCTTTTGCTTACAACCCTTCATCTACTATCACACTACTACAGGCATAAGTTCAGTTCCAGACCACCATAATGAGGCAAATATTGCAATAAAGTTCACATGAATTTTTGAGTTTCTCAGTGCGTATAAAAGTTATGTTTACATTATATTGCAGTCTATTAAGTGTGCAATAGCATTAGTCAAAAAAAGTATATAATTTAATTTTTAAAAATTGCCAAAAAATGTGTTAATCATCCTCGAAGCCTTCAGTGAATTGTTATCTTTTTCCTGGTGGAGGGTTTTACTTTGATGTTGATGGCCGCTGACTAATTAGGGTGGTGTTTGCTGAAGGTTAAGTGGTTGTGGTAATTTTTTAAAATAAGGCAACATTAAGGTTTGCTGCACTGATTGACTCTTTCTTTCACAAAAGATTTCTCTGTAGCATGCAGTGTTGTTTGATAGCATCTTATCCATGGCAGGACTTCTTTCAAAATTGGAGTCAGTTCTCTCAGACCTTAGCCTTATCAACTAAGTTTATGTACTATTCTAAATTGTTGTCATTTCAACATTGTTCATATCATCTTTATCAGAAGTAGATTCCATCTCAAGGAATCATTTCCTTTGTTCATCCATAAGAAGCAACCCCTCATTTGTTCATATTTTATCGTGAGATTACAGCAATTCAATTTCATCTTCAGGGTCCACTTCTAATTCTAGTTCGCTTGGTATTTCCACTACATCTGCAGTAATTTCCTCCACTTAAGTCTTGAGCCACTCAAAGTCATTCATGAGGAT